GGGTTGCACTGGCTTGAGAGGTTTCATAGAACATATACTCTATACTGTGCTGTCTCTCTGGCCTTCCATTTTTTTCCCCTACTACTTTTGAGTATTCTTCAACTCTCGGATACCAAAGTATCCTAAGTTCAATTCATTCTGACCTGAAGTTCAATTCATTCAAGGAAAGCATGTTGGCCATCAGTTGTGGGCTAGATGCTATGATAATATCATTATAAACATGATGTAATTTGATCTAATGACCTGATAAAGTGAGAGAAATGAAGAAATAAAATGAGAGAAATGAAGTTCAGAGATTTAAAGTGACATACCAAAGGTTACTCACCTGCCCAACTCTGAACCCCAGATCCAGCTTCTGTCTTTGTTACATGAGTCTTTTAAGGACTTGAAGACAATCTTTATTTCCACCAATACAAAGAATCTCAACACTTTCCTCACCTCTGTTTTCATATGTGCTGACCAAAATGCCACAATTTTGGAAACATTTAGTTGCTTGCCTGAATTTACTTAGGAATAATATTTCCTAGCTTCCTGAAAGACATTTAAACCTGGCTAGCAAGACTTTGTCTCAGCCTGAGACCATCAGATGTATCAAAAAATCCACAAGGATCCTAGCATAGGCAGTTGGTATTTCTCCAAGTCATAACTCTTCTGAAACATTAAAAAATGGTTCTAAGTCCTTCATGATTCGGGTCTTGCCTCCCTGAGATTTTTAAAGGAATCTTTTAATAATATTAATGTCGTATTTAAGAGGAATGCATTAGTATGAGGCTAAAAAGAATTCAGTTGTTAACCCGCAGTGTCACTGCCCCATTTCTCCCAGCCCATTCCATTAACCTAGCAGGAAGGACTAGCTTGGGGAGAAAGGGAAGAGTGGGGGATGGAGTCTAGTAAGAGAAGGCTGCCTTTTTAATTAGGTGGGTCCCCAAACCAATAAAGCAAGTGACAGACCAAGATCATACTATTTGCCAATGCTGCCATCTTCTGGCCAAAAACTAAAATTTCACTAGAAACAGTCAAATCCCAGAGATACTCTTTATACTAATAAAGCAGTCTGGATTTTTTTTTTCTTTATTAGATTGTTTACCATTTTATTAGGTGCTAGTATTTACAACACTGTTCAGCATACTTTTCATGCATACATCATTCAACACCACATCCACCACCACTGGAAAAGAACCCCTTCCCGAAAGCCCTTCCTGCCCTCCATGTAAGGTCAGTTCTAAAGGCAAAATCTTTAGTTTGGATAATTTTTCATTTATTTATTTGCAATGAATCACCGTGAGGTACAGTTACAGATTTACAAACTTTCGTGCTTACGTTTCAGTCATACAGTGATCAAGTACGCATCCCTCCACCAGTGCCCATTCTCCACCACCAATGTTCCCAGTATCCCTCCCACATCCTCCCTCCCCCCTCCCTCCCATCCACCCCAACCCCAGGCTCTGTATCAGGTGGATTCCCTTTTTACTCTCTCTCTCCTTTAGGGTGTTGTGGTCTGCAATGCAGGTGTTAAGTGGCCATCATGTTTCATCTATATAACTTTTTTTTTCACCCTACACCTTCAATGTAGCTCCGACCCCTAATTCGGATAACATTAACCATCTGTTTTTCCTTTATTATAACTCCTTTTTAATCCACATACTGGGGGAGGTCACTTTCTTTTTTTTAATTGTGGAGGTGATAACAGCTGAACACACTCACAAAATTGTACCTCAATGTTGAATCAAAGTTCAGAGAAAATATTTTTCAAATTTTATATCATTTTTATAAGTATGAAAATTTAAAAATTGATATTAAGAATAATTCAGTATGAATCTATTTTAAATTTTACGTAAAATATATAAACCCTTCAAATGTAAAAGAGTGAAGAGAATTAAGCAATTCCAGCTTAACACTTTAGAGCTGTTCATAATCTTTTACAAATGATCTTTTTATTTCTAAGAAGCCTGTTGTGATTTCTCCCTGCGACTCAGTTAAAGTTTTGTTCAGTATCTAAGTATTAGCGCTTTCCCCTCATGTTCTTACTATGGTTAATTTCAACATTCATAGCACTGTGGTCTGAAAAGATGTTTGATAAATTTCTAATTTTTTGACGTTATTGAGTCCTTGTATAGCAGTCGTTGGACTTCTCTGAAGAACGTTCCATGTGTGCTAGAGAAGAATATGCATTCAGCTTTGTGAAGTTTGAATATGTTCCTTTTGCTGTATATGTCAATTAATCCCAGCTCTTGAGGTTCCTTGTTCCGGGCTCTTGTTTCTTTACAGATACTTTGTCTGGTTGATCTGTCCAACAGTGAAAGTGGGGTATAGGAAGTCTCCCCCTGTTATTGTATTACCATCCAGGTGCTTTTTTAGTTCTCTGAGCAATAACTTTGCTGCCCCTTCATTTAGTGCCTCTCCGTTAACAGACAGTAGGGCTTTCTGTACTACTAGCTCAAAGTAAAGTAAAAGTAAAGGCCCTCCCGTTGATCATGGATTTGCTCGAGCAGGCCCAGTAACGTCTCCATTGGAGACTTTGTTGTTACTGTGCCTGGCATATCGAATACTCTCGGTAGCTTGCCAGGCTCTCCGAGAGGGGCAGAGGAATCGAACTCGGGTCAGTCATGTTGGCTGTGTGCAAGGCAGACGCCCTACCCGCTGTGCTATCGCTCCAGCCCTAGTTCTTTAATCAGTAAATAAAGCCATTCGTATTTCTTATTACTTTGTTAAGCACCAGTGCACTGAAGCTCCTATGACTTTGAACGTTTGGTGGCAGCACAGGCCCACTCCAACTTGGGGCTATAGGCCTTGATGGTACAGGTGCCAATACTTACAGTGTTACATCATAGCACATGGCCTGTAAACTGGTTTGGCTTCTATACGAAATAGTACAGAAATCTCTCAAAAATTTATAAACGAAGCTATCAGGCTGCACAGATATTATAGTGGGTAAGGCACTTGCCTTGCACTCAACTGACTCGGGTTTGATCCCTAGCATCACATACGGTTCCCTGAAACAGCAGGAGTAATCCCTGAGTGTACCTGGCTATGGTCCCAAAACACAGAAAGAAACAAATAAATGAAAGAGAGCTATCATGTACTATCCAGCATCTCCATTCCTTAGTATCTAGCCAAGAACACAAAGCACTAATTCAAAACCATATATGCACGCCGACATTGACTGCAGCATGTCAAAAACAAACATTGTCTTCCCGTTGTTCATCGATTTGCTCGAGCGGGCCCAGTAACATCTCCATTTTTTTTGAGACTTGTTGTTACTGTGTTTGGCATATTGAATACATCGCGGGTAGCTTGCCAGGCTTTTCTGTGCGGGCAAAATACTCTCGGTAGCTTGCCAGGCTCCCTGAGAGGGGCTGAAGAATCGAACCCGGCTCGGCTGGGCTGGCCGCGCGCAAGGCAAACGCCCAACCACTGTGCTATCGCTCCATCCCTGACTGCAGCACTATTTGCAATAGCAGTGGTCTTAAAACACCCCCAAATACACCATAACAAATTAACAAATGGGGGTAGATAAAGAAATTGTGTGCTCTCTCTCTCTCTCTCTCTCTCTCTCTCTCTCTCTCTCTCTCTCTCTCTCTCTCTCACACACACACACACACACACACACACATACACACATTTTCCTTTTCAGCATTGTGGTTTGCAATACTGTTACTGGAAGGGTATTGTGTATATCACTTTACCTTCTTTCAGTATTCAGTTTGTGTCTAGAGTGATCATTTCCAACTATCATTGTCAGTGTTGGTCCCTTCTCTGTCCTAACTGCACTCCCCCTTCCCCTTCATGGCATGTTTTCTACAATGGGTCAGTCCATCTGGCCCTTGTTTTGGGGTCAGGAATAATTTTAAATTATATAGCTTACACACAAATTTTTCTATTATGAACATTATGATATTACCCGGAAGAGAAGAGTGCAGAGTCTCCTGCCCCCATGCCTATCTGTCCTCACCGGGGCCCCTTGGAGGGGGGCGGGTTGAGTTTCCTTACCCACCCCGAGCAGAGCCCTGGCAGCCAAAGACCTCCAGAACCAGCCACAACCATGCTGAGACCACTCTCCACGCGCATAAAGGTACCGGCAGAGGAACAAAAGCATGCGGGTCCCGGGGCTGAGATCTCCAAGCCTGTTCCGATTGGGGCTGAGCATCCTCCACCCAGATCCTCCATCTTCCATTAGGCAGGGGTCACACCCACCAACTGACCCCCTGGCGCCATGTAATCTCATCAACGGCCAAGACCCAGAGACTACAAAAACCAGTTCCCAGAAGCTCGCAGCCACATTTGCGGCTGCGCGACATCTTATTATCTCATTCTTACTTTTGGACAACCTGGCAGGCTACCAAATGTAACCTGCCCACACAGCAGAGTCTGGCAAACTTCCCGTGGCGTACCCAATATGCTAAATACCAGTAACAATGATGGGTCTCATTCTCCTAACCCTGAAAGAGCCTTGAATATGGCACTTTAAAATCTCAGGGCTAGGACAAAGGAGACGTTACTGATGCCTGCTCAAGGCAATTGATGAACAACAGGATGATCATGATTGTGATCGTGATAATATTACTACTACCCTTCTGTGGTCATTATCATCACGCTTCATTCAACCTACTTTATTTTTTATGCACTTTTATAGCAAGCTAATGACACTTCACTTCACTCACTTGAGTACACACCACTGAAAATGATTCAAAATGTATATCATTGACCACCATTCAATTCTCATTTATACTAGATGCATGCAACATTTAAATTTGATGAAAAAAATTTTCCTTAGCATACTATTTCACAGAGCTGGAGCAATAGCACAGTGGTAGGGTGTTTGCCTTGCACCCAGCCAGCCTGGCTAACCCGGTTCGATTCCTCTGCCCCTCTCAGAGAGTCTGGCAAGCTACTGAGAGTATCTCGCCCGCATGGCAAAGCCTGGCAAGCTATCCCTGACATATTCAATATGCCAAACACAGTAACAATAAGTCTCACAATGGAGTCATTACTCGGCACAGTTGAGCAAATTGACGAACAACAGGAGTACAGTGCTGTACGGTGCTATACCGTGCTATACGATTTCACAAGTTCCACCACAGTACTCATGCATAAACAGACGAAAATCCCCCAAGTCTTTGCTGATTCCCACCAGGAAAGATAGGTTTCTTGAATTCCCCCAAGAACATCAGAGCCTATAAGAGTAGTCCCCACCCTCCCTGAACTGAATCATCGCCCACCCCCAACCCAGGGAGAATTTAGGCCACAGCCAGCTGCTGAAGCAGTGAGAGGCATCCATACAGGGCTGACAGTGGCATCTTGGCTTCCAGATCCCAGGCTGACCTATTGCTATTTAGGTCAATCTTTAGGCCACACTCCTCCAGCAGTTTGTAGGTGACAGCCACACCCTCATCCTTCAGTGGGGTAAGAAGCTCTGGTTTAAGGGTGAAAGGAATTCTCCAAGGGTATTTGAAGTTGGGCTCCAAGATACTCCTTACCTGAAAGAAACAGTATTTGGGGTGAGCCTTTGGGGTTGGGGAAAGAAAGTCTTCTGTCCCAAGGCTATGCAAAGGAAAGATGAGTCAATCCTGGCTGTGTCATTGAGCATGGGCTACTAAATAATGAAGCTAGCACTTATCTTGCATTTTTTCAAGACCATGTGATATGTATAACATGTGCATGTTTATGTTTATATTTACACATACATAAGAATATATACATATATAAAATATGAAAAAGAATTTTACAAATTATTAACTCCCTAACTAAAGCAAAGTTTAATTCAGATCTTCTGAGTTCCCAAACTATCTATCCTTGTGTGGATATTTTAGAATTGTGGGAACTCTCTGAAGGGCTTGGCATGGAAACTGAGACCCTCTAAGGTAGATTCATACCCATTTGGTCTGCTCTCTCAAGGGAAATGAGTCAGGAATTTCTAAGGACCACATAGGATGTATTCTGTTTTATACACAAAACCTGAGTGATTTCTCCTGCTCAGATTACTTCTTAGCCCAGGTGCCCTCCCTCCCCTCCCAGGATGCTGGTCCTTGAAGATTTCTCACCAGCTCCCGCTGATGGACTAGGATCTTCTTCTCCATGGACCATGCCAGCAGATCCCGTTGGGTGTCATTGAGCACTGAGAGCAATGAGATATGGGGAAAGAGTGAGGAATATGTCTTCTCCCCTACTATGAACAAAGATCATCTTTGGGAGGGAAACTTTCACAGGCAAAGGAATGAAAGTCTTTTGATTTGAAGATCAAATTTCTTTTTTGGGGGGGTTACACCCAGCGATGCACAGGGGTTACTCCTGGCTCTGCACTCAATAATTACTCCTGGCAGTGCTCGGGGGACCATATGGGATTCTGGGAATCAAACCTGGGTTAATCGCATGCAAGGCAAACGCCCTACCCACTGTGCTATCTCTTCAGACCCTGAAGAGCAAATTTCTGACCATAGGATGTTGTCTTTCTTCTTTTGAAAGAGCAACAAAACATGTTCCAGGGTCTGGGGTTCTGACACCAGAAACTTGAGCACTCAATTAATAATCTGATGAATGAAATCGGGATGCTGCTTCTTAGACTCAGGCTCTGTGTTAAATGATTAATTTATATAGTGAGCCCTTGAGTATGATGTGAGGAGAAAATAAAGTCATAACATTTTAAAGGCCTTAAACAGATGATGTCTAAAATCTTCCTTTTTGGCTGGAGTGAGAGTACAGAGTTTGCTTTGCATGCAGCCAATCAGTTCAATTCCCGGCATCTCAAATGGCCTCCTGAATCCGCCAGCAGTAATTCTTGAGTGCACAGCCAGAAATAAGCCCTGAGTATGGAGTAATGTAGGCCAAAAACCAAAACTAAACAAAAAAATTAATGAAATACTCCTTTTACTAGAGGATCACATGCTTTGCATGCAGGAGACCCATATTCTAACCCTTTCTCACATGTCCCCTGAGCACTGATACAGGAGTATACCCTTTGTACATATTACCAGGTGTCACCCCAAAGCAAACAAAAATTAAGTCTCCCTTTCAGGGAGTCTGCTGTTGATGGTAGGGGCTGATCACAAAACTGTGACTCTTCCACTCAATTTCCCAACTCATTCTTACCCAGCAAGGCTTCAAGGAGATAAGGGATGCAATATGGTGCATAAAAAAATGAATCTTCTGAGTTCTTTCTCAGTTCATTTAGAATGATTCCACCAGGGCCATTCAAATCACCCTGGGGAAACTGTTCCATCTGTGGAAGACAATATTCTTGTTGTTAATAATAATAATAATAATAGCAACCAATATTATTGTTATCAATAATAGCAATTAATAATATTGGTAGCAATGCTATTTTTATCAATAATAATTATTGTAGAATAAAAACAACATTAATTCTGCTTCTGTCTTATGAGTATGTAATTGCTCCACTAAGAAATGGGGACAGGGAGAGCTCCACCTCCTCTGGGAGATTCCAATCAGTCTTAGGATATAAAGATACTAGCACTGTAGCACTGTCCTCCCATTGTGCATAAAAAGCTTGAGCGGGCACCAGTAGCATCTCCATTGTGAGACTTGCTGTTACTGTTTTTGGCATATCGAATACACCACGGGGAGCTTGCCAGGCTCTGCTGTGCAAGCGAGATACTCTCAGTAGCTTGCCCTGCTCTCTGAGAGGAACAGAGGAAGATACTAGTAGCCCTCATTATTTTGCCTGGGACAAGAGCACAAATTATTAATTACTGGCATCTTTCTCATATTCCTTGCATCATCCCTTTTATCTAAGTATAAGAATATTCAAGTCTGCCAGATTTATAGGTTCCATCCAAAGTGACCATGGAATGTACTCACCATGTCCTGCAGGTCCTGAAGAGCCTCTCGATCCCCAAGCATGACCAAAATATTATGGAATAAAATATCCTGAATATTCTTGGAAAATTGGGATAGTTCTCCCATTCTCCTGGAAATCTCATCTTGTAGTTGCTTAAAATCTGATCTCAAAAATCAACATTAACCAGAAAAATAGTACAACTCATTAGTTAGAGTCTGCCTATGATGATATGTCCTGCTCCTTTAGTATGAGTCAGACACTTTTATTTGTTTTAACTGATGGCCAAACCTATCTCTGCAGTTGAGCTCCAGGATGGAGAAATAAAATAAGTTAGATAGATGTAAATCACAAGCTAAAAGTGGCGAAGAGAATTAGATAACAGAGATGGACATGGACTAGAGTCTTAGATGTTCTTAGGAACTCGGGGGCTCACTTTCCACATCAATGAAGTGAGGATTTAATTGTTTGTCTGAAAACCTTGGAATAAAACATGGTACACATGAGCTCATCCACTTCTTCCTGTATTATCTATCTTCTTACTGATTAATCAATTAGGTGTTGCATCCTGTCTGGGGTATCCTCAAAAGACCTGATGAACTTGAATGCTACAGAGACATATGCTAAATGAAATTAATTAGAAGGGGAAGGACATGAAATAAGACACAAGGGAAAGGACAAATACTAGATTATTTCACTCATCAATGGTATACAGAGAAATAAAACAAGGGAATAGACACTACCAAATGATAACCAACCATGGCCCTGTATTACAGAGCTGAGAACATGAAGTAAAAAAGGGAAGAAAGCAGTGACGAGGTGAATTAGGTAAAAGGAGAACATTGAGATGTCTTGGGTACCTTGGTGGTATGAGATGAGGTATTTTTATAAAGCAAAGCCACAAATTCTAACACTACTTCAAACAAGTGACCTAAAATATAATTAAATAATATTTGTTTGATGGTTTAATATTTTATAAAGTTTATCTGATGAGAGTGAGAGGAAGATTGAAAGGAAATGTATTTCTCCATTTCGTTTCCTTCCTTTCCCTGTAATCAGAGTTCCATGACTGATATGTCATGTTGGCTGCATCATTTTACCTGCTTCACAATAAGTCCTAAGAAGTACTTGTTTGTCAATGTACGAAAGAATGAATGAATGTATGAAAAAAGGAAGGAAGGAAGGAAGGAAGGAAGGAAGGAAGGAAGGAAGGAAAATGGAAGGAAGGAAGGAAAATGGAAGGAAGGAAGGAAGGAAGGAAGGAAGGAAGGAAGGAAGGAAGGAAGGAAGATGGAAGGAAGGAGGGAGGGAAGGAAGGAGGAAGGGAAGGAAGGAAGTAAAATGGAAGGAAGGTAGGAAAATGGAAGGAAGGAAGGAAGGAAGGAAGGAAGGAAGGAAGGAAGATGAAAGGGAGGAAAATGGAAGGAAGGAGGGAGGAAAGGAAGGAGGGGGAAAGAAGGAAGGAGGGGAGAAAGGAGGGAAGGAAGAAGAGAAGGGAGTGAAGGAAAGAGGGAGGGAAAGAAGCAAGGAGGGAGGGAAGGAAGTAGGAGGGAAGGAGGAAGGAAGGAGGGAAGGAAGGGAAGGGAGGAAGGAAGGAAGGAAGGAAGGAAGGAAGGAAGGAAGGAAGGAAGGAAGGAAGGTAGACTAACTAAGGGGCTTGCATAATGGCTTCTAATTTAAGTCCTGGAGTCTTGCAATTTTCCACCCAGAGCCCTAAGATCCCTTTTGACACTCACCTTGACTCAAAGGTTTCTCTATTCTTTCTGGAAAGAGAATAAACGTGAGCATGTCTCTCTTCATCCATAAATGTGCTTTTGATTCTCCAAGGGTTCTGGACTAGTACCATGTTCTTCCTACACCTGGCCTTCTCTTCAATACCCATCCCATTCTATATCCTCCACTTCCTAAGATGTCACAGAAACTTTCCATCTACAGAAATTAGGGTTAGACCCTAGGGTAGTGGTTACAAAGGCAAAGACAACTTCCTCCTCAACAGATATGTATAGAAAAGGATCCCACCACATCAAATACACACTCACGTATTGGCAGAATCTCACTTCTATTCTCTAAAAAGAGAAAATAAATTCACAATTCAGTAAGAGGCACTCAATTTCTCACATGTTCTGCCCTCAACATCCCTAAACCACTTCCATCAATCCACCCTGCCTTTCTTTACCCAGAGGCCTGGAATTCAAAGTCTTATATATAAAGACAATCAAGGTCACTAGTAGGTTTTCAGAAGTTCCCTGTAAACAATGTCACATGGTAGAAGCAAGGACAACTTCCTGCTCAGCAATATATGCTGAAAAGTATCCCACCCCATCAAATACACATGCACATATTGACAAAGCCCTACTTTTGTGAACTAAAAAGTAGAAATTAAATTCACAATCCAATAGAAGGTACTAAAGACATCCAGTTTCTCATATCTTCTACTGTCAACTTCCCCAAGCCCCTTCTTTCAATCCGCCCTGCCTTTCTTTACCCAGATACCTGTACTTCAAAGTCTCGCATAAAGACAGTGAAGGCCACTAGGTATGGTTTTGTAGTGCTCTGTAGGCAGTGTGACATGGTAGAGGAATCCCATTTCATCTTCACAGCTTAAAATTAACAACAACAACAGCAACAAAAAGAATCTTACCAGTGATAGACATTTCCACTGAAAAGAGAAATAAAAGAGCTCATGACTCCTTTAGGTTTTAGTCTCCCCTCCCACCTGATCCCCTTTATACCTCTTTCCCTCCATCACCCACTTTTTTTTACTCCTCTGTACATCTTAGATTTTGTCACTTACACGACTTTGATTGAAAGTCTTCTGTAGAAGAAAAAATAGAAGACCTTAGAATTTAGACTGAGATGAAGCCCAGGAAACCCTCACACCTCAATACACAACATCCACCTCTGCCTTCCAAGAAAGGTTGGCTTGTCTGTGGAAACACAAGGGTCTGGGCCAGGGTCAAAGGAAATAAAGATTCACGGTAGGGGAAGATTCTGTGGGTCTCTGGCTCTACATAGCTATATAGATGTCTAAAGGGATCATATATTAACAATGAGGGTAAGTAAAAAATAAATGGCCAGTTCTTAAACTCACCATCTGGAAAGGTCATCTGCTTTTTATCCTTGATGAGAAGAATCTCTAAAGGGGGAAAGAATCCAGGTCATTGACTGGAAATATAGTATGACAGGTAAGGTGCTTGCCTTGCATGAGACCAACCCAGGTTCCATCCTCAGCACTGCATTATGGTTTCTGAACACTTCCATAAGTGATCCCTGAGCACAGACCCAAGAGTAAGATCTAAGCACCACTGGTCAGGCAAAAAAAAATCATCTTCTTCATTATTTCCAGGTCGAGTTTGTCCAGAACACTCTTACAGAATCTTTCCCACCCCTTCACCTGCATAGTTTCCAAGGCTGCTTTCCTCAGTGTAAAGGGATCCCTTGTATTCTCTCACATTCACTCTGATCCTCCTAGAATTTCTGTCAAAATTCAGAAAGACGGTCTTAAAAAGATTTCAGAATATGTACTAAATAATGTGTACCTAGAGATCATTATGGACTTTAACAGAGAATTGCCTTTAAAAGAAAATCAGAGTGACTTCTGTGGAAATTCATCTCACTTTCCTGGAATCTCTTCCTTCATGCTCTAGGCCTAATTTTTCTTTGTTTTCTGCATGATTTCAAATATCAAATAGAGAGATATGAAAATTGTCTAATACTCAAGACTAAATGTTTCTAAAGAAACTAGAGTCCCAAGTGGCAGAATAGAAAATTTTCCAGAGAAGAAAACTCCAAGGAGAAACACTGCAGCTGAGTCGTCCAGGTAGGCAAAGTCTCCAGGCTCACATCTCTGGACCCTTCTTGGGATTGGGGTGGGCTGAGTCTCCACCCTACCAAAAGGCCCAGCACTCCACCCGAATCTGACATCTGCCAGCATAATAAATGGCCCAGCTGAGACTCATTCAGGTTCAAGGATCCCGAAGGGTGCCAGCTAAAAGAGACCCCAACAAAAACACTCCAAGACATATCATAGTTAGAATGATTGATACTGCCGATAGAGACACAATACTGCAAGCAGCAAGAGCAAAGAAGGAAATCACATACAAAGGAGCATCCCTTAGATTCACAGCAGACCTATCAGAGGAAACCCTACAAGCCCGAAGGCAGTGGCGAGATATAGTCAAAAAACTCACTGAAATGAATGCTTCACCAAGAATACTCTATCCAGCTAAACTCTCCCTCAAAATCGAAGGAACGGTACACTATTTTATAGATAAACAGCAGCTCAGGAACTTCATAGACTCAAAACCAAACCTAAAGCGAGGCCTAAAGGGGCTACTATAAGAAAAGACAAACCCTACAACCACAACACACCCGCACAGAAAGATGACACAAAACCCCATAACCATTCTCTCTCTCAATGCCAACGGTCTAAATTCACCAGTTAAGAGACACAGAGTGGCAAAATGGATACAGAGACAGAACCCAACATTCTGCTGCCTACAAGAAACTCATCTCAACAGCCAGAGCAAACACAGACTCAAAGTCAAAGGATGGAAAACAATCCTGCAAGCACACAACTCCCTCAAAAAAGCTGGGGTGGCCATACTAGTATCCGACAACATTAATTTCACCTTGAAAAAGATTAGAAGGGACAGTGAAGGCTATTTTCTCTTCATCAAGGGATACGTACAACAGGAAGAACTCACACTCTTAAATGTATACGCACCTAACGAGGGAACAGCTAAATATTTAAAACAACTGCTAACAGATTTTAAGGAGGACATCACTACCAACACAATAGTACTTGGAGACTTCAACATCGCCTTATCACCACTGGATAGATCAACAAGAACAAAACCCAGCAAGGAATTATTGGCTTTGAAAGAAGTAATAGAAGAGGAAGGGCTTGTGGTCTTATACAGGGCTTTACACCCCAATCAACATAATCCATCATATCAACAAAAGAAAAGATAAAAATCATATGATCATATCAATAGACACAGAGAAAGCATTTGACAAGATCCAGCTGGTCCAAACCTTTTGGAAAACAGTATGGACGACTCTCAAAAAATTAGAATTTGATCTGCCATTTGACCCAGCTATAGCACTCCTGGGAATATATCCCAGAGAGGCAAAAAGGTATAGTCGAAGTGACATCTGCAATTGTTTATTGAAATCAACCTTCCTAACTTTCCTCAATATAGTTAAAGCCATCTACCACAAACCTACAGCAAACATCATCCTCAATGGGGAAAAACTGAGACCCTTCCCCCTAAGGTCACAGACGAGACAAGGATGCCCACTCTCTCCACTACTTTTCAATATAGTACTGGAAGTACTTGCAATAGCGATTAGGCAAGAAAAAGATATTAAGGGCATCCAGATAGGGAAAGAAGAAATTAAGCTCTCACTATTCGCAAATGACATGATACTATACTTAGAGAACCCTAAAACCTCTACCAAGAAACTCCTAGAAACAATAGGCTTGTATAGTAAAGTGGCAGGCTATAAAATCAATACCCAAAAATCCATGGCATTCCTATACGCAAATAATGAAAGAGAAGAAAGTGACATCAAGAAAATAATCCCATTCACAATTGTGCCCCAGAAAATCAAGTATCTAGGAATCAGCTTAACTAAGGAAGTAAAGGACCTGTACAAAGAAAACTACAAAACGCTACTTCAGGAAATAAAAGAGGACATGAGGAAATGGAAAAATATCCCCTGTTCTTGGATGGGGAGAATCAACATCATCAAAATGGCAATACTTCCCAAAGCACTGTACAAATTCAATGCAATTCCTATAAGGATACCCATGACATTCTTTCTTTTTGGGGTGTAAAGCCCTGTATAAGTCCATAAGCCCTTTCTCTTCTATTACTTCTTTCAAAGCCAATAATTCCTTGCTGGGTTTTGTTCTTGTTGATCTATCCAGTGGTGATAAGGCGATGTTGAAGTCTCCAAGTACTATTGTGTTGGTAGTGATGTCCTCCTTCTTTGACATTCTTCAAAGAAATGGAGCAAACATTCCTGAAATTTATATGGAACAATAAGCCCCCAAGAATAGCTAAAGCAATACTTGGGAAAAAGAAAATGGGAGAAATCAACCTTCCTAACTTCAAACTCTACTACAAGGCAGTAATAATTAAAACAGCATGGTACTGGAACAAAAGGAGAGCTGCTGACCAATGGAACAGAGTTGAATACTGACATTTCCTCCCAAACATATAATCATCTAATCTTTGATAAGGGGGCAAGAAAAGTGAAATGGAGCAGGGAAAGCCTCTTTAATAAACTGTGCTGGCAAAATTGGATGGCTACATGCAAAAAAGTGGGCTCAGATCTCTGCCTAACACCATGCACAAAAGTAAGATCAAAATGGATTTATGACCTCAACATCAGACCAGAATCCATAATGTTTATTGAAGACAAAGTCGGCAAAACTCTCCATGATATTGAAGCTAATGGTATCTTCAAAGATGTCACACCACTGGCTGAGCAAGTGAAAACAGAAATAGACAAATGGGACTATCTTAAACTAAGAAGCTTCTGCACCTCAAAAGAAACAGTGATCAAAATACAAAGACAGCCTACAGAATGGGAAAGGATATTCACCAAATACACATCCGACAAAGGGTTGATATCAAGGATATACAAGGTACTGGTTAAACTCCACAAGAAGAAATCACCCAACCCCATCAAAAAATGGGGTGAGGAAATGAACAGAAACTTTCGCAAAGAAGAAATTCGAATGGCAAAAAGACACATGAGAAAATGCTCTACATCACTAATCATCAGAGAGATGCAGATCAAAACCACAATGAGATATCATTTCACACCACAGAGACTGGCCCACATCCACAAGAACAAAAGCAACCAATGCTGGCGCGGATGTGGCGAGAAAGGGACCCTCCTTCACTACTGGTGGGAATGCCGGCTGGTCCAACCCTTTTGGAAAACAGTATGAACGACTCTCAAAAAATTAGAATTTGATCTGCCATTTGACCCAGCTATAGCACTCCTGGGAATATATCCCAGAGAGGCAAAAAGGTATAGTTGAAGTGACATCTGCAATTGTTTATTCATTGCAGCACTCTTTACAATAGCCAGAATCTGGAAAAAACCTGAGTGCCCAAGAGCAGATGACTGGTTAAAGAATCTTTGGCACATTTACACAATGGAGTACTATGTAGCTGTTAGAAAAGATGAAGTTATGAAATTTACATACAAGTGGTACTACATGGAAAGTATCATGTTAAGCGAAATGAGTCAGAAAGAGCGGGATAGACACAGAAAGATTGCATTCATCTGGGGAACATAAAGCAACAAAAAGGGAGACTAATACCCAGGAATGGCTGAGATTAGTACCATAAATTTTGCTCCATGAATGGAAGGCCAGCCACACGTTCTAGGTGAAAAGGAAGCTCAGATAGAGAAGAGAGCACCAAATGAAAGGTGCTGTGAGGACCCTCCCAGGGTGGGAGAAGCATGCTAGAAATAGTCTATAGACCAAACGATTGCCACTCAATGCCTCTCTTGCAAAACACAGTACCCAAAAGAATAGAGAGAGAACAAGGGGGAATACCCTGCCACAGAGGCAGGATGGGACGGGGGGATGGGGGGTGGGGGGGATGCTGGGACCCGTGGTGGTGGATGACGGGCACTGGTGGAGGGATGGGCACTTGATCATTTTATAACTGAAACCCAAGCACAAAATTTGTAAGCCTATAACTGTACTTCATGGTGTTTCACTAATAAAAAAAGAAAAAAGAAAAAAAGAAAAAAAAGAAACTAGAGTCCCAAGTGACAGAATAGAAAATTTTCCAGAGAAGAAAACTCCAAGGAGAAACACTGCAGCTGAGTCGTCCAGGTAGGCAAAGTCTCCAGGCTCACATCTCTGGACCCTTATTGGAATTGGGGTGGGCTGAGTCTCCACCCAACTAAAAGGCCCAGCACTCCACCCGAATCTGACATCTGCCAGCATAATAAATGGCCCAGCTGAGACTCTATGCTGCTGAATTATTCCAGTTCCACAGCTCCTGGTGCATACGACCACAGACAAATTTCACAGAACTGACAACACAGTAGGATCACACAAAATCAGATGGGAAAGTTGTATAGAAACCCAGTAAGCTT